CATCGGTCTTGCATTGCACTCTGCGAGATTAGATACAGGACCGTGACTTTGAGTCCTGAACTATAATGGGCCCCAAATGAACAAAACGGGGGATTTCCTCCCGGGACGTTCAGGGATGTCCACACCACCGCATGTTTGTTAATTTGTTTCTGAGCAATAATTCTTCCCACCAAGCATTGGTGTGGCACATCCTCAAAACCAAGTAATACATCCTGCAGAGCAATGGTACCCAGATTTGAAGAAACGTCTGATACACATTCCATCCAAGACTAAAATGTGCAAACTGATATGAAGGAAAATTAAGAAAGACCTAGAAGCATAGATATAAGAGAAGGATGAGAAGTTAATAGCATTGCCTAAGAGAAAGAAAGAAAATAGAGGAAAGACAAGACTAGGATACTCTCAGAGAAAGTTACCCTAGGGCACCACCTTATTCGCCATGGGAATATGGTTTTAGGTTAAATTGGTCAAAGTGTTCTTTGCATATATAATTGCAATGTCAACCAACGAGTGCGTTTAGAAAGTTAATTGGCTTTTGAATTTTTTTACTATTTTAACATGGTTAAAAAGGTTATGTTTGTAAAGATAGTTGGCTTTTTTTCAGTTAATTTGATAGTTGTGAGAGAAAAAATAAAATGATTATGGTTTGAATGTAACATTTTATATTATTAACTATTTTAGCCTATTTTATCTTTATTGACTATTTTATTCCAAAACCTTCTTCTCAAACAGGGCTGCTACCTTCCCAGATCTTTTAGGTTTGACTTTATTGGTGTATTCTGCATAAAAACAATATTAAGCGTAACGATGACATCCTTTTATGTGGGGTTACCGATTAATAAAAAATCCTAAATGTATTAAGAGAGGTCAACTATTGTCAAGGCTGACCTTGACGTTTTGAAAGCTAAGGCGAACTCAGAAGATAGGACCCCGACTCTCATACATATTTTAATATATATATATATATATTGGTAAAATAGGAACAATCTTCAATTAATTTTTATTTTTTGTTTGTATCTTCTATAAATTTGTTGCATATGCTACACATAATTATTGATGTAAATCATAATTATTGAGATAAATTTGGAACAATTTTTTTATTGTTATTAACACTATTAATTTATTTATAGTTTTTCTTGACATAGTAAATTAAATTGTAAAATTTGATTAATTTCAACTTTAAAGAAATTATTTATTCAGAACAATTGTAACTCATATAGTCAAATAATATTCTATAAATAATTTATACCTTTGGCAAACAACCATTCATTATTTTTAAATAATTCACCAATGCTTTTGTTTGTTTAAACCTATATTTTTAAACTACTAATATTATAATGTAATGTTTGGTTCACTAAAATGAAATTGAATTAAATGAAATGGTCATTCGTTAGTCTTTTTTATAAAATTATTACTATTCCCTTACAATGGAGGATGATAATTTCATTTGTAATCTTTTTTAGTAAACCAAACATGAAAATAGACAATATGATGAAATAATTACTCTTTTCAACTTTATTTTAATAAATCAAACATAACTTAAGACTGAAATAATTAATCAAATATAACTTAAGATCAAAATTATTTCGAAACTCTATTTTTTAGACAGAATTTGGGAGCCCAAGGTGGTGAGCTTGCCCGCCTTTCATCAGGGCTAGCCATAACTATTGTCTCTCACTAATATTGTGGTCCTTATCACAAATTAACAATTCTCATAGAATGGTGATTTCTCTAAGTATTATCATCATTACATTCAATACTTAGTCCCTCTAAACTTATTTATTATTTGTAAATTTTTTTCCTCTCGAATTATAATTGTAAGGGCAATACTAGATATCACTAAAAGTAGTGTTGTAAAGCAATGACTAATGATGTGATATCCACTTTTAAATAAATAAATAAAAAAACAGGCACAACAACATTGTGACATCCACTGTCACATCATTAGTGGTGACACTAATTGTAATTTGTGAATAATTGCACGTAGCAGTTTAATGTTCTAACAAACGTGCTGGCAGTGGCAACTCCACACCAAAATAATAATAATAATAAGGGCAAATTACATATACCTCCCTTGAGGTTTGGCTAAATTATAGATACCCCTTGAGGTTTCAGAAATTACATCCCGCCCCCTAAGGTTTGTATTTTCATAACAATTTGCCCCCTGAGGTTTAAATTTCATAACAAATTACCCCATAATTTGTTATGCAAATATAGCATTCAGGGAGAAATTTGTAATTTCTCAAACCTCAGAGAGGTATTTGTAATTTAGCCAAATCTCGAGGGGTATATGTAATTTGCCCTAATAATAATGAATAAAAAATTGAGAAAAAAAGGGACAATATATTAAAAGAATAACATAGTACAATAACAATAAAAGAAAAAGAACCTATTACAAACAACAATTTTTTTTTTTTTTATATATATATAAACGGGGTTATCCCCACAATTTAAATAGTGGGTTTAAATTTTTTTCAAAAAATTTCAATTTTTTTAACTATATTAGAAATTTAAAAAATTTAATCAAGAAAAAAAAAATACAAAAGACTCAAAAACTATTTTTAAAAATTATTAACCAAATAAAGTGATTAAAATTTATCAAAAAATGAGTTTCAAATGGCAAGAAAAGTAAACAAAAAGCAAACTATTTATTAATATTTAACATAACAATGTTACGCTAGCGGGACACAAGAATTATCCACTTAATAGGGAGATTTTAAGGGACCCCATGAAATAGATATTCACACAAATTTTTTTTGAGTAAATTAGTCATAAGTCCTTTTTAAAAAGTGTGTATTTTATGTAATTTTAAAATGTTTTAGATAGGTCTAAAAGTTTTATACTTATTTATTTTCTCCTCTTTCCATACACCTTACTTTTTCTCTTTATCTCTCTTTCTCTGATATCGACAATGACCACGACTACGATTACACCTTTCTTCTTTTCTTTTCTAATATACAGTCACCGACGACCGACGACTACTATTGATTGAGATTTATGGGCAACAACCGAACACTAACTCCTTACTTTGTGCTCATTGACAATAAAAGAGATGAGTAGATATACGTTAGATCTTGATAGATCTAAACTAAAAAATAACTGTCAGAGTACAAGTATCTCTCTATATCCTTTTCTTTATTTTGATCTCTCAGTTTTAATACTTTTTCTATACTACATACTTCTATTTTTCTGTTATAATGGGAAAAAAAATTCAAGTTCTGAACAAGTTGTTTTTGAGTTTTAATTATAGGCGATGAAAACTGTAAAATTTTACAGTTTCAATTTTTTTGGTGTTGAAATAAATCATTCTTTAAAACTGTAAAATTTTACAATTTCATAACTTTCTTTAGAATTGTAAAATTTTACAGTTTCATAACATACTTTTTAGTTTGATTAATAAGGATAAAAGCTTCTTTTCTTCTTTTTTTTTGGTGAATAATAAGGATAAAAGCTTAATAGAAATATACTTTGAAACTGTAGCATTTTACAATCTCAAAACTTATTTTTCAATTTGATCAATATTAAAAATTATTTGCTTAAATCTTATAAAAATTGAAAATAACATATGTTTTTTACCTATTGTTATTGTTTGTTGTTCTTAATTTTTTTTTCTTCTTTCAATTTATTAATATTTAACACATTTTGCTATATTTTTTCACTTTAATTTCTCAATTTATTCTTCTTCTTTTTTTGACATTATTTTAAACATTTCGGTGAGTGTTTCACGATATTCTTGACGTTCAGTAAACATTCTAGACATTCCAACAACTTCTGGTGATGTTCAAAACATACTAGAAATACTTCGACATATTTTTGGTAATGTTCTAACATCTTTCGGTGATATTGAACAATCCGACAAGTCTCCAATGACTGTCTGACGAAAATCCAGCGGTGGTGGGATGTAACGTAGGAATGGCAATGGGCCAGGGCGAGGCCGGTGATCACCCTCCCCGTGCCCGATCCCCGAAGCTGCAAAACTCTCCGTTCCCGATCCCCGGCAGGGAACCCATTACTCCCCCCACCCCCGCCCCCTAATGGGGATCGGGTTTCCCCGACCCCGGAAAATCCCTGTAACTCTCTCACTTTCTCTGTTTTTAGCTGTCTCTCTCAATAAGAAATCATCAACAACATCATCATTTTCATCAACAACAACATCATTTTCATTAACAACATCATCACAAAAAAAAAAAAAAAAAAAAAAAAAAAAAACATACATGAGATCTGAGATATGAGAAAAAGGGAATCAGCGGTGGCAGTGGCCGGATCTGCTTAGATCTGCCGCGGTGGAGAGAGGAAGAGGCGGTGAGAGGCAACGGAAGAGGGGGAGGAGACGACGGAGGAGGAGATGGCGAGAGGCGATCCGACTACGGAGGAGGAGACGACGAAGCCATCGCCGACTGCGGATAAGAAGACAACGACGCCGTCGCCGACTACGCCATCGGAGGAGGAGACGAAGAGAAGAGAGAGTGAGAGAGATAGATCAGAGGGGAGAGTGACAGAGAGACATATCAAAGGGGAGACTGAGAAGAGAGAGAGAGAGTGAGAGACAGATCAGAGGGAATTAATATTAAAGGGGGAGTTTATATATATGAATGAATGGAGAGTATTATGGTAATTTTATTTCGGGGAGAAACGGGAACGGGGCCGGGCCGAGTCCGTGAAAGCTATCCCCGTCCCCGGCCCGAAACTGTTTGGGGATTCAATTTCAAATACCATCTCCGGCCCGTCGGGAGTTTTTTTGGGGAAAAAACCACTCTTATCGGAGACGGGGGGGTCAGGTCCCCATCGAGCCGTGTTTAAATTGTCATCCCTAATGTAACGTCGTCTTCAAATTTTTTTAATCAAAAAAATTTTTTTTTTTGATAACAATTAAAAATATATAAGACTAACTGGTACAAATATTTTATTTTAAAAATAGATAAATTTTGAACTTTGTGAATGAAACGTATCAGGCCTCACATAGGCTTGGGCCTGCCTCCTCTGTCTAAGACAATAAGCGCTGAGCAAACCTTGAGTTGAAATAAATAATTTAACAGAAAGCCGCATAGCTTATTATCTTTGTAAATTCAACATAAATGAAAAGGGAAACAGAGAGACAACAAATCTCAGAGAAGCAACTATTCTTCTCTTCTGGTTTACATGCTACTAATAAATCTAAAAGAAGATGACACTTCTTAACCAGAAGCTGAGTTACATAGAATTGGCTCATTACATAACTGTGAGCAATAGTCCACCCTTCAATCACCTTTGGGTAGTGTCACAGACCTAGCTGCTCGTAGATTCAAAAATATTCCCCTACAAAATTGGAGGAAGAATAAAGGACATTGAAACACCGGACCATGAGGAAAGAAACATATAAAATATAATACATGGGGTAGATATACGTACCAGCAACATGCAATCACGCTGTGGAAGATGACACGGAATTGCAGAGGTATGTACTGGTGGTTTACCCATCCCACTACCGGCCAGAACTGTATTTTCATTCATCAGAGATGATTCATTAATTACATACCGTGCTCATTTTTATTTTACATAAGTAACAGAAGACTTATGAAAGAATGCAATACCGTCCACGCTGTATACTGCACTGTTGGATACTCCTTTTTGACTTTAGACTTCACGTGGATCCATGGCCTTGCTGTGCATTTGATAAGGTTATATTCAGACAAAATTTTGATGTTCAATTATCGGCTCTATGCAGCGTAACTACTATCTCTGGCTTGAATTAAGCTTGCCAAGTGATGTTGAAAACTAGCCAATTCATTTTTCTTTCAAGCCGACTTCCTCTAGCCCTGAAATATTATTTGCAGTATTTTGCATGCAAACATATACCAACAAAAATTTGAAGGCTTGACCAAGAACTACTATTGTGGGCCAAGTATTTCCTCTAATTACACCTATTTTTCAGACTTGAAGCACTTAGGCCGTATTTGGATCAATATTTGAGTAGAGATTTGAGTAAATTTTCACTTTTCCCTACCCTTTTCCTCTCTCTCCACAAATCTCCTTTCAAATCCTTGATCCAAACATAACCTTCATATAAATTATTTACAAGTTTCAATGTGAGCTTACCCTCAACAACCAACCCATAGTAAAGCATGAAAAGCAAGTTGTTCCAAGGGGAAGATGTCAATTGTTCCAGCACCACCTGAAATAATTTAACAGCCATTTCAGACCCTCTCTCTCTCTCTCTCTCTCTCTGTGTGTGCCTTCCATTTATTACTTGAATGACCAACAATACTGATTTAAGCTCAGAGACCCAAATATTTGATGAATATCATCAATGTTCCTCAACTCCATTCAAAATATTTATTTGGATAAGAAGTGAGAGAAAACAGAAACTAGGAGCACTAACAACTGTTGGCTACTTGGCTACCAAGAAGATGAAATAAAAATTTGTAATGTCAAATAGTTAGGAAGGCAATGGTTTTAAATCCCAAATTTAATACCCTACTCGACGTGGTCTCACAAACCAACAGCATAGGATGCCAAGAGTACCTTCTTAGCTACTGTTTGTGTATCCTTCTTCCCCTTGAAAAGTTTATCCAGCAATACATGAAGATAATGCCCAAATGGTCCAAGATATGCAAATCCAAAAACCTGCATTCAATATGTTAGGCTTCCTTATATATAGATTTCAAATGAAGGGATCTGAGATTAAATTTTATAGAAGCAAAGGAGAGTTGGCTATTATAGTTAGATGAGAAACTAAAAAGGAAGATAGAATTTTAAAAAAAATTCAAAATTTTTTATTTTTATTTTATTTTTATTTTTATAATCTTTGCACAACTAGAATTGTTAGTATGAAGGATTTGGTTTGGTTTGGTTTGGTTTGGTTTGGTTATATTATTATTTCAAATCCATCATGGTAAAGCTCTCAAAATCAATATTGAAATCTATATCTAAGCAATCAAATCTAAATTTGCGCTATTTTCTTTTAATGATTAGTGTCGAATCATTTGAGTTTGAATCCACAAATCTAAACACAACCTTAACATGGATCATTGTAAATAAACTTATGTAACCGCAGATTCATGAAAATCAACATATGCAAACCAACATTGATTGAGATTAGCATGTTCATATCCTCCAATGAAATTTTTTGCATGGCACAACCGTAACAGAACTGAAGAAACCACACCAAATTAATATTTGAAGACAATCACACCAGGAGTAGCATAAACTAAAAATGATCTTCATTTTTGTTATAGTTAAATCTGCAATTTCCTAAAGTGAGGAAGTCAGTACACCATGCATACATAGAATTTGCTTCAACATTTCAATTTGCAACTTGCTTACTAAAAAAGGAGTAACTCGTAAAAAGCATGTGTAACCTTTACATAGTACATTAAGCATCTCACATACTAAAAACAGTTGAAAACAAAAAATATATTTCCAAGCACCATTACTGCATCAAAAGAATTAAAATAAAAACAAAAACCATGCCAGGGCAATCATCTGATGCAAACACTGCAATTAACAATCCTTGCAGTTACAAATATATGTATGATACTCGAAGACACACAAGCCAATTGGGTGATATGAAGTATAATGTAAACTTTTTTATGAATAAATCTATAATGGAAGAAAAAGGAAAAGTCCCACATGCACAGGGGCATATAGTACTGCTGAATCAATATCATGCAAGAACTACAATAAAATAAAATAAAAGACCACATAAAACCATCACCTTGGCAAACCATGAAATTTCCCACGCAGAGGCCATCAGAGGACATTATCGATAAATTTTTTGCCAAGCACACCTGATTAAGCATGTTAATTTTTATAGAAAAATTTTACAGAAGGTTCAAGTAAAAATTCCACTTTAATTCTTTCAAGCAATTTCACAACAAATTACACCCGTAGTCCCTATAATTTGTCTCTTTGGTCCTTCTACTTATAATTGCATCAATTTTATCCATTCAAATGAGCAGTCACCTTTTCAAATTGCATCTACTGAGAAATTGGATAAAAATCACGGTATAGTTTGAAAATGAGGGGCAAAATTGATAATGGATTACTTGTACATGGACAACGGTATAATTTGACTTTGAGTAATCCTTTCTAATTGACTTATGATTGTAACAGAATAAAAGACATTTAAGAACCTTTATAGAAAACTCAGGCTAAAGGTACAGTTGCAATTTTTATGGTTATTCTTAAAACTATACAATTTTGTTACAAAAATTAATTTGAATGCAAATTCATAAACCTTGCTAATGCTGATCCTATTGGTTAAGATTCAAGATTTTAGACACCCGGATACTTCAGAATTCCGCCTTCCCCCAACCCAACCCAGCTGATTAAAATTTCAGACTGAGAATATAGAATATCATAATATTGAAATTTATACCAGAAAATGAATGTTTCAACTTCAAATTTTGATAATTCAACAGAGGAGGACGGTCAACTAACACCACATTGCAGTTTATAATTGGGAAACACTGAATCAAACAACGCATAAATCTATATGTACACATATAAGTATAGGAAAAAAAACAACTGAATTGATGCTAAAAAGAATTTTTTTTACCACTTTGAGAAGAAGGCGTCTGAGCTGAAGTTTCTGTATGCCAGAGAGCTTCTGAGCCACTATATCACTGATCGCCGACAACACTCCCGCTGTAATCGCCTATCCCAAACACAAACATTCAAAACCCATTTCGATAATCAAAACCATCAACCCAGAAAAACAACCGAAATTCAAAGAACACCCAATTCAGCAAACCAAAAAAAATATACAAAGAAACTGTAGAGAAAGAAAGAGAAAAAGAGAGAGAGATGAGACCTTGGTTCTGAGGGGATGATGCTGAAGCTGAAACAAGTAATTTTGCAAACCCTTTTTTGCTATCGATCCCATACTCGCTTGCTAGTGTTGACACTTCAAAGCAGCGAGAGAGCCGATCAACGTTCCTCTCCTCTCTCTTTCTCTCTCTCTCTGCTCTACTGCGTTCGCGTATGCGTGTGTTAGGTGGCTTTTGTACAGCCTTGCAACAGTCACGAAATTATGACTTGTTCTCTCCAGGATACAACAGCCCGACCACTTGCCATATGGTTCAGGCTAACTCTACACAAGATGGTGAACCCAAAGCTCCACCAAGAAAAAATTCCCTTCTTTGGCTAGTAATCTCTCAAGTATAAAAAATAGTTGGTGTAGAAAAGAGTAGATGAGATGAACTATTTATAGGCCACTAGGAGTTTATAATTGACACCAAAAAATAATAATGACTATTAAACTAGAAAAAATGGAGAGTCTCCAAATATTAACTCACCACCAAGTCCATGAACTTCCAATTAATCTCCATTCATGAACAAGACAAAAGATCACCAAAAACAATGAATCTCCATTCGCCGAACAAAATGAGATTCATGAACAAGACAAAATAAGATTCCTGAACAAGACCAAAAAAGTCACAACACATAAATAAATAAATAAAAGTTATTAAAATGGTCCAACAATCCCCCCACTCATTTTAATATCAACAATGACAAAAGAGATTACCAACCAAAGATAGACAGTATGCATCATGAACGTGTGCTTTATATTGAACCTTTATTAGTGAAACAACAACCTCTACTCCAGAGTCAGTATTGGTCTCAGATTTGAACTAAGACTTGAACTATGACTACTTAGGGGAAATAAAGTATTACTGCTCACACATAATAATCCAGGTGTTGACATGAGCTTTTAATAGCCAGCACATTACGGCCTTGTGCTAATCCCAATTTTTATGAGCATATTTGAGAATAAGCCTTGTTCTCATAGAAAACAGCCCCACTTCCATGCTCACATAGGTGAAATCTGTCAAGGATGTTTCTGTAATTTACACACCCCACTCAACAAGAGCTACAGAATTTCATTAAGAGTATAAAAACTCAAACCTCCAACGTTACAGGATAAATGCACTTACATCATAGGGATGAATAACAAAATATTAAGGAGTGTATTTTTACAACCACCATATGATTCATTCTTCCCATTGAACCTAGTTACAGGATATTTGGTCCCCAAGTTGGGTATCCTCATATATGGTTTATGATTTTATAGGTTTCAAACCCATCCCCCTCGATGTATTGTAAACCCTATCTCTCACCATGGTCTTGATTGATGGATCCGCAAGATTATCACAAGATTTTACATAATTCATAGTTATGATGTCATTGCTCAAATAGGATCTCACATTACTGTATTTCCTTCGAATAGGTCTGGATTTACCATTATAAAAATGATTATTCACTCTACCAATAGCAGCAGTGCTGTCATACCAAATTAACACATGAGGAATTGGTTTTTCCCAAAAAAGGATTTCGTGTAACAAATCTCTCAACCAATTCGCTTCCTCGCATGCTGAAGCTAATGCTATAAGTTCAGCTTCCATAGTAGAATTAGCAATTATAGCATGTTTTTTAGACTTCCAACATATAGCACCACTACCCAAGATAAAAATAAAACCCGAGGTAAAGAGAGAATCACCTGACAAAGTGTTCCAATCGGTATCACTATATCCATCAAATACCGCAGGATACTTGTTATAAAACAAACTATAATTTTTGGTACCAGATAAATATCTCATAATTCTTCCTATGGCTAGCCAATGATCTCGACTTGGCTTGCTAGTAAACCTACTAAGTACTCCAACAACATATATAATGTCAGGTCTAGTACAGTCAGTAGCATATCTCAAACTACCAATCATGCTAGCATATTTCTTTTGATTAATCACTTCTTTTTCATTTGTTACAACAGACAAATGTATGCTTGCATCAAAAGGAGTAGCAACATGTTTACAGTTTAGAAAGTTATATTTCTGTAAAATTTTCTCAACAAAATGTGATTGATCAAGAAAAATGGCATCATTAGTCTTGGTAATTTTAATTCCCAAAATAAAATTGGCTTTACCAAGATCTTTCATATCAAAGTGACTATTAAGCATATTTTTAGTCTCATTTATAATATGCAAATTAGAGCCAAAGATAAGTAGATCATTCACATATAGGCTAATAATCACATGTTCATTCTCACAAGTTTTATAATATATGCACTTATCACATTCATTAGTCTTATAGCCATTCTCAAGTATGCAGGAATCAAATTTCTCATGCCACTGTTTAGGAGCTTGTTTTAAACCACAAAGGGATTTTTTTTGTTACAGAACCATAAAGGGATTTAATCAGCTTACAAACCTTGCTTTCTTGGTTAGGCTCCATAAAGCCCTCGGGTTAGTCCATAGAAATCTCCTCATCTAGATCTCCATTTAAAAATACTGTTTTCACATCCATTTGATGAATTTTTAAATCATGAATTGCAGCCATTGCTATCAACAGTCTAATGGATGTGACTCTGGTAACTAGAGAAAAATTATCAAAGAAATCAAGATCAACTTGTTGTTTAAAACCTTTAGCGACAAGCCTCGCTTTATATTTATCTATAATTCCATCCGGTTTAAGTTTTTTACGAAGGACCCATTTACGCCCAATAGTTTACAACCTGGAGGTAAATCCACTAGCTTCCATGTTTTATTTGAAAGTAGTGTATCTATCTCATCATTTACAATCTCTCTCCAGAAAATAGTGTCAGGTGATGATAAAGCTTCTTGCACCATAAGAGGAATTTTTTTTTATATTGTAAAGATAATAGTCAAGGCCAAAAAAAATTTCAACTCTAGCTCGTTTACTCTTTCTTAGTTGGATTTGAGAATTTTCTTGTTCTTAGAAAACTTGAGATGGAGTAGAAGAGCTAGGCATGGATAAAATACTTTCAGAAATTATTTGACCCCCACTATTTTTAGATTTGGAAAAAAAATTATTTTCATAAAAAATAGCATCACCTGATTCAAAAATAATAATATTTTCTATATCAAAAAATCTATAAGTTGTACTATGCAACGCATACCCAAGAAAAATACAGGTGGTAGCTCGTTCACCCAATTTAGGTCATTTAGTATCTGCAAGCCTCACAAAAGCTAAACAATCCCAAGCCCTCAAATAACCTAGATTTGGTTTATGCCCCCGCCACAACTCATAAGGTACAATCATGGCAAGCTGTCCAAATAGCCTCGCCCCAAAGATTGAGGGAGCACCTGAATCAATAAGCATAGCATTCGTCAAGTCAATAAACGTTCTATTTTTTCTTTTAGCTACGCCATTAGATAAAGGTGAATATGGTGGAGTAGTCTCATGAATAATTCCCAATGATTAAACAAAAGAGTTCAATCTAAGAGATTTATACTCTCGACCTCTATCACTTCTAATTCTCTTAATCTTTTTACCGAATTGATTTTCCACTTCAAGAAGGAATTCTTTAAATTTCTCAAAAGCATCACTTTTATTTTTTAATAAATATACATTTGTGTATTTTGAAAAATCATCAATAAAAGTGATAAAATATCGGTTACCACCACGAGTTAAAATTTCTTCAAACTCACACAAATCAATATGAAATAATTTTAGCAATTCGATATTTTTTTCAACACTTTTATGAGGCCTCCTAGTAATTTTTGCTTTACAGCAAACTTCACATTTCTCAAAAAAATTTGTCACTTTAGGAATTAATACTAAATTACTCATGATTCCCACATATTTACTGTTAATATGACACAAGCGAGCATGCAAAAAATTAATAGAAGACAGCATATAAACCGAATTGGTAGATGGTTTATTAATCTCAACATTCAGTTTGAACATCCCATCACAAGTATAACCATTACCCACAAAAATGCCCTTTTTGGTAATCACATATTGATCAGATTCCATAGTTTGCTTAAAGCCAGCCTTATTCAACAAATAACTTGACATCAAATTCTTCCCCATCGACGGTGTAGAGCATCTCCAACCCACTAGGCATATAATGCTTGTTAGTTAAAATGCCTAGTATAACTCATTTTTTTCAACTCCAATGCACTAGGCATATGATTAGGCATTTTAGCTCAACTGAGCATCTCCAACCCACTAGGCATATCATGCTTGTTAGTCAAAATGCCTAGTATAACTTATTTTTTTCAACTCCAATGCACTAGGCATACGATTAGGCATTTTAGCTCAACTCACATTCACTAGCTACATGTAGCTAGCCTTCAAGACTAGGCAAAATATATTTAATCATTAGGATCATTTCCCTCCATCTTTGTTGCTGATGTGGCATTTTATAAAATTAATAGTATTTAGATGAATAGCTAAAATAAAGAGCATGGTTGGAGTAAAAATATGAAATAGTTGATAGGCAAAATAAAATATATACTTTATAGTAATATTTAGATAGGTAAAATGCCTATTACCATTGGAGATGCTCTAACTAGCTACATGTAGCTAGCTTTCAAGGCTAGGCAAAATGAGTTTAATCATTAGGATCATTTCCCTCCATCTTTGTTGCTGATGTGGCATTTTCTAAAATTAATAGTATTTAGATAAATAGCTAAAATAAAGAGCATGGTTGGAGTAGAAATATGAAATAGTTGATAGGCAAAATAAAATATATACTTTATAGTAATATTTAGATAGGTAAAATGCCTATTACCGTTGGAGATGCTCAGCACACCTTTTAAAGTAAGCATACGTCTAGAGGTGAACTTAAGGTCAACCTCACCACTCCCAAGTATCTTGGTTTGACCAGAGTCACCAAACATAATTGTTTTCTCATCATCAAAGGGAGTATATACTTTGAACCAAGCTTTATCATAACAAACATGTCTATTAGCACCAGAATCTGCCCACCAACCGTCCACATAATTAACCATGCAAATGTTTATAATCATCGCGACAAAGGGCTCCTCAATAGCGTTAGCCTTTGGGGCAGGTGCACGTTTTCAGAATTTGCAAGTTCGAGCAAATATACCCACTTTTGCCACAGACAAAGCATGTAGAATTTTGTGAAAGTGATGGACCTTGGTTCTTATTTGGATTAATCCATTTATTGTGAGGTTTACCATAATTCTTCATATTCTTTTTATAAGGCTTCAAATAAG